TTTTTTTCCCCTCCTTTTTTTTCTTTGACCAAGGGTTCTAGTCTTTGGCCGGTTGGTAAGGTAGGCACGATGTGCAGTGTAATTCAGTAGTTGTACGTGTGTAGTAGTGTTTCGAGTAAATCGTAGATTAAGGTAAAGCAAAGTAGACTAGAAAGGCATCGAATAAAAGGCGGAGAGTGAAACAATTGGCAGTTCTTGGAATCAAATGACCTCTGAGACAAATAGATCCTCGGCCGGGGGTATGAAAGTTGTCTGTAGGGAACTCATTCTATGTATGCTGAGGAATCTTTAAAAATAGACTATTGTCGGGATAGATTGAACGGAGTCCATGTTAAGAGAAAAGCACGCACTAGTCTACTGTGTATGTGTTTCTTAACCGCTACCACGATCTTGGTCTAGAAACTCAGGTAAGAGTGTCAAATTTGGTACTCTGAAGCTATCGAAACAATGGTTCCCTTCCTAACCATCCATGAAGGGAGAACCCAGGAGAAGAGCGGGAATACTCCGTGATGGATGGTTCTGGACCCTTGGAAAGCATCGAGATGACAGGTTTAGTTGCAAGGCTGGTTGTGTTTGTGACTAATTAGCCGAAAGGTTGGTATCAAGCCAGCAGAAATAGGTAGGACATGGCGCTAGGTAGTTGGACTAGATGGGGTACCTTAAGAACCTTATGGATAGCTCCCTGTTTCAACAATAATGCTTCCAGCAGATCCAGATGGTTCTTGGTTTGACACTAGAATAAGGACCCGTCCAGTCAGAGCTTAGCATGAGAGTCCGAGGATCCCACATTGGCTCACAACAATCATGCACACTCGGTAGGTGATAGACTAGGCTACGGACTATCATGATGCACAGAAGATAGTTCCTCCTATTTCTGTTTGACGATGGGAACCAGGATAATAGTAATGGAAGATACTCCGTACTCCAAACCACGAGACCTTCCGCATAGATTTCCTTCATAACTCTTGTACTCGCTTTTCTTACCGAGAATTTCCTCTCCTTACTAGTACTGTTGTCTCCGGGTGTTGGAGTAGACGGCTCGTTGGAGAACTTTGTCGACCGACTGTACGGCTGTTGATCAAGTCATCCATTTCAAAATCCCTGTTATCACCTCATTTGCTTCCGTCATCCCCAACTTCTCCGTCAAGCGGAATCAACCCACAACTCATCTCCATCCTTAATTCATTTCCTCCTCATTATCCCACTCTCTTTACGATCTCTTTCTCTGCTGCAAGGAAGGCCTCCATGTGTGCTCTCTCCAACTGAGTTTGGACCCTCTTGTTCTACTCCTCTCCGCGCTTCCGCCTTACCGCCCTGGGATAAGAAGAAAAAAAAGAGAAAAGCAGAAAGAAGGGCCCAGTGCCTTTTGCGACGATAGCCCCACTCGAGCTACTTCGACTGCGAAATCTTCCCCCTCTTATCATTTTTTGGCCCTTCGCAGTCTCTTGCGGTATTTGTAGATGAAAGTGATCCACCCTGTCTGTTGTCTACATGACGCCGGGTTCTCCAGATGAAGCTCTTCACTTTCGAGGCAAAACTCTGACTCCAGAGAGCCCTCGTCCGCTACACGTCGCGGAACCGACCAAGATCCCTGTGCTGCAGAACCAAATGGACCCAGTGTTCAATGATACGTCGACTTATTTTGACACGCCTTTGTCAGACCTTGAAAATGGTTCCCAGATGCACCATCATAATGGACACTATGCAGGGTCGGAGAACGTGACGAGGTATCAGGCGCTGGACCATCATCACTATCAACAATACCATCAACCACCACCGTCGACACAAACACAAGGTAGCTTTCACACTGGTTCTTTGCAGGCGGATGATCGATCAGTGGACAAGAAAAATGAGACTTCACTTTCTGCGGGGACAGCAACTGCTAAGCCTTCCCCTCCATCAGATCAGTCTGCAGTAGCAGACGAGGATTCCTCTACTGCGCCGGCCATAGCAGCAAACTCATCTCTAACTGTTCTTCCTTCCTCAGATCCTGCTGCCCCTCTAGCTCACCCTAACCCCGATGTCCCTCCCTCTGCCTCCTCTCAGGCTGCCCAGATCCTGCCCGTCGCGAACGAGGTAAATCACGCCGTCGCCAGCTGGGCCGCGCAGTCGGCACCGCATGATCGCTTAGATTCCCAAGCCAAACCCGAAGATAATACTGGTGAGGGTGGTGTGGACTTCCAAAACCTCCTCGATAATCTTCCTCCTCCCTCTTCTGCCGCTCCATCTCCTCCCCTACCCTCGGAGACTGCCCCTTCGTCTGCGGACGACGTCTCTGAAGCTCCTCAAGGCCTCCCCCCTCGTCCCCCGCCCCAAGAGAAGCCCTCTATCCATCCTAATTACCATCCCACCGATGATATCCGCTCGTATCATCAACTCCACCCTCACCCTGCCAGCACATCCACTACCTACCCTTCCCAGCAAAGTAATTATCAATCCAACTTAGGGCTTCCTTCCTTGGCTGCTTCTGGTGCTCCCGGAACCGCCTCGGGCGCCAGCTCGTTGCCTCCACCACCTGGTCCCAGCTTCCAGCAACCGGCCCCCTCTACCGCAGAATCGTCTCAGGAGCCCCCTGCAACGGCAGCTTCTCCGAATGGTCGCGTCGAGAAGCCGGTCGGTCGTGTCGTCAAACCCGGAGACGAAGATGTGCCGTGGGGTCCAGACGTACAGAAAAAATATGACCAATTCCTGCATGATGAGAGAGTGTACGTAACGGAGGGACTTTGGGATCGCTTCCCAGCGGGGTCCCGGTTGTTCGTGGGTCAGTATTCTGCCTCTTCTACTTGAACCTTTGGTGTCTGACCCTTGTCTAATCCTTGCCGGCAATCCAGGTAATCTACCGACGGAGAGGGTCACAAAACGAGATTTGTTTCATATCTTTCACCAATACGGCAAACTGGCCCAGATATCGATCAAGCAAGCCTACGGTTTCATCCAATTCGTCGACGCCTCCGCCTGCAAGAATGCGCTCGATTGTGAACAAGGAGCTGTGATAAGGGGTAGGAAAATTCGTAAGTCGGCACTGCGATCCCCGCGAATATTCGGACCTGGATTGACTCTTGCCTTACGCAGACCTTGAGATTTCAAAACCACAGAGGAATACTCGGGCAGGACCACCGCCACCTGAGCCATCTCGTGGTCCTCCACCCCGACGGTCCAGGTCCCCGGAATACAGCAGAAGCGGTCCTCCCGGCAGCCGTAATCCGAGGGCTTCGGGAGATCGCTATGATCGACCTTACGAGTCAGGTAGAGTCCCATTTAGTGACTTTAGAGATGAGCCGAGCCACCGCAGACGCGACGATTATCGACCCCCTCCACGATCGCCATCTCCACGTCCGTTCCGAGGAAGAGATGGGTACAGATCTCGGGATAGAACTCCTGAACGGTACGATCGACGTGAGAGACGCCGTTCTCGGTCACCATATGGGAGAGATAGACGGTATCGGACTCCTAGCCCCAGGGGCCGCAACGCTTACGACAGTGATTCGGACTTGCCAGTGCCCAGGAGAGCCCCGAGAGATGTCCCGGAAGTGCAGATTCTGGTTCTTGAAGAAGTTGACCGGTAGGTTATATCCTGTAGCTGACGCCGTCGATGGTGCAATTCTGATGTTTCTTTTCAGTAACTTCATCTTCCACGTGGAGAATGCCTTCCGCAACCGAGGTCTTCGGGTCGATGTCCTGGTGTTAGGTCCTCGCATACCACTGAACGCGGCAGTTCAGCGGCAGATTAAAGAAGGGGTTCTTGCTGTTGTGAGACTGTCTCGTCCGAACCAATTCTCAAGGAAGATCCCTTTGCAGGTCTTTGATCGCAGTGGTGGGTCAGACAATGTTCGCTTCAATGGTCAGTAACCTTGTTTCCAATCATCTCTGTGCACGCAACTTCTTATACTCATGTATTTTGTACAGAATATCCAGAAGTCGAGCCCAACATCGCCGCCGAGATCGTCTTTCATGCCCAAGCCATGCAGCGCGGTGCTACTTCACTTCCTTTCCCACCCAACCCAGCGTTTGCAATGCCGTCACTTCCCACAGCGCCCATTCCTCAAGCACCATTGCCGGCGGTTCCTGCTTCTTCCAATGTCGCGAATATGATTTCGTCTCTTGATGGGCCTACCCTTCAGTCTCTCTTGAGTGCACTGCAGCAGCGACAGCAACAACCCGTTCCCGCTGCACAGCCCTTTACAGCTAGCAACATGCCTCATACCACTGCAGATCTCGCAAGCCTTTTGAGCGGAGCAACGCGGCCACCTATTCCTACGAACCCTCAACAACACCTGCCTCCGCAGTACTCGGTCCCAGTCACCAATGCTCCGGTGGTTCCGGATCCCAATCTGATCTCATTGCTTGCCAAGGGCCTGGGTGGACAACAGCAACCACAGCAGCAGAACTTGGCGACTATGAATCCTCACGTTCAAAACATTATGAATCAGTTAAGCAAGTGGAAACAATGATCGACCATAATTCTTTTAAATGTGCATCTCCCACCTTTCTATCTTTTCTCTTCGTTTGCTTCTGTTCTGAAATCTCGGAATACCATGGAGCTTGGCGTTTCGTTCGCGAATATCCGTTGAATTAATTAGTCATGGGATGAACTGGCCATTGTTCACGGTTTTTATGGCTAGTTGTTGGCTTTGATGCTACTTTTCTGTTTTTTCTTTTTTTCAAGACATTGCGACAGGAGTGCAGGGTTATTCTTTCGAGGCATTCAAAGTTTAGATATGGCAGGAAATGACTTCTGCGTCTGGGTTGTCATGGCATCTTTATGGATTACCTCTTACCTCTAATCTCAATGCATTGAGCGAACCCAACACTAGAGTAGGCAATAGGACGATATTGACTTCGGCTGCTGCGCAATGAGATGACTGGGTAGAAACAAATATTGTACAAGATCTCATTCAACAGTCGTTATGAGAGGCGATATAGTGTGATATAGTACATTCATAATAAGAATCTCCTCTTCTTTTTCTTTTCCTTTTTTCATCTCAGCTATAGCACCCGCCTCACCTCGGCGTCCACCCTTGTGCCTTGAGATCCGCAACCTTGGCCGCATCTTCCTTCTTGATGCGCTCGATTGTCTTGTCCCGGTTATATTCCATCACCCGCTTCTCCTTGAAGTATTTGACCTATGCAGGAACAAGGATTAGAAAGCTATCTCCCGCTACTCAAGTCTGGGAGGAGATACATACCCAAGCTTTCGCGCACGACCCCTCAAACTGTGCCAGTTCCTTCCCGCATTGACGCCGTGCCTCCTTATCTTCCTTGATCGAGTCGATGATGTTGTTTTTGTCCAGGCAGGAGAAGAACAGATCCCGGCCTTCCCAGCACTTTTCGCGGGAGCTCCGGTCGGGGGCTATGCGGCCGCCGTCGGAGGCTTTGGTGGAGTCGTCGGAGGACCAAGGGAGCCAGCCCATTTTGATCAAGGTATATCAAAGGAGAATCGAATGGGAATATGGATACAGCGGAAGAATAGTGAGAAGTAGAATCGTCGCAAATGTGAGCTGTAGGTAGGAATTGGATGTCTTCAGTTCCACTGGGGATTCCGCATTGGCGGCTCCGCGTGGCTTGTTGGCTGTGGCGCTAACATTGTCATTTGCTGGGACAGCTTCAAGTTGTCTTCTGACTTTCATCATCAATTGACTCGACCACGGGGATACAACAGCCTAAGTCAAGAGAATAATGCTTGCTACTGCCTATGAAATACATACGTGAACCTGCATCTACTGGATATCTACTCCTGCACTTCCAAAAGTCCGTTTCCAGACTGTCCAGCCCGCTCGCTCGTTCTCCATAAAGGATATTCGAATCACCACCAGGGTCGACAAATTATCGATAGTTCATGCCCCCGCGCCGACGGGCTCCTGCGGGGTCCCGAACAGACCTTCCACCGCTGAAGATTGTTCGAAAGATCATCCTCCTGCAAACTGCCTACTATGTCTCCGCCACAGCCTTGATCCTGTTCACGACTTTAGTCTATGGGACGGGGTTCTCGCTCGATTTGGTTTTCAGCTGGGATGCCTTAAGGGGGGACACAACAATAGGGTGGATGCTGGGGCTAGTATGGATGTTAAACAGTCTACTTGGGTATTGTATACGCCTTTCGCTCCTGCAAATGCTTGGTTCGCTGACCGAATATGATTGACAGCGTGATCTTCCTACTGCTCCTCGTGTCCCGCTCAAAGCTCATCCCCGACTTCGCCTTAACAATCCACTTCCTCCATCTCCTCGCGACATCGTTCTACACCCGCTCAATACCCCGCAACTTGCTCTGGTGGGGTCTTCAATGCGCCAGCGCAGCTCTGATGACCTTTCTGGGTATCTGGGCCTGCCAGTGGCGGGAACTCAGACCTATCACGTTTGGGATAGCAGGCGGTAGGGGCACGGCGCAATCGTCTTCTAGTGCATCCCAACCACAGACTGACGATGTTGAAAACGAACCGTTCTTGCCATCACGCGGACGCGGCCGAGGGCGGCATCTGGGTGAGGGGAGTGGCGAGTACGAACTGACGGAGATGAAAGGTGAGCAGGCTGTATAATGCTCTTGTGGGCTTGGACGACACTTTCGCCCCGAATTCTTCATTTTATCATTAATTTTGGCAATCCGGATACGGCGCTACGTTGCATCGTTACTATCATCATTGTGTATACCCTAGCTGGTTGGATTTGTATAGGTGGCGTTGAAGTGGACAGTGCATTCCCGTGCAATTCTTGTGGAAGAGGATATATTGCAGGAGACTGTAGCACCATCATGATATGTGCAGGCACATTTTGGTTACGTTCTAATAAGATTGACTCTCTGGCCCATCTTAACGGGGATTTGGACTTGGGCGGAGGCCAGGCAGTAGTGCAATGAACAGCATTACCAATCAGTTGTGTCTCGATTTCTCCACGAATCCTTCGGTCGGATAATAGTCGGCTGGAGATACGTACAACTTCTTTGCGACAGATCATGAAGCTCTGCGCCTTCTACGCGACAAGCAATCAGGCAACCTAAGTCAAGCGGGGTTTTCGGAGTTGAACCGCGAAGTCCGATTCAAGTTATGATAAGCTTTGTATAGATAAAGGATTGGCGAGTTGTCTCAGCAAGATATATGAGGGGTCACCTTACATGTTGGTTATTTTCGAGTTTAATGCTACATAGTCGTGCTCCCTGCTGAAGTCCGATTTCTGTCTACTTTTATACGTATCATCCAAAATGTCAACCACGACGATTACTGAAGCCGCGAAGCAGACGCTCGTCGTCACCCCAGAAAATAAGATCACTCCTGCTGCAGCAGATGAAAAGTTCCAGGCCATCGCGCGCGGCAATCGCGAAGGCACGCTGAAGCTCCAGGGCATCCCAACCTTCTCCGACCCCTACGAGCAGCGCAAATGGATGAAAGAGCATATGGCGGCTGCGTTCCGCTTCTTCGGGAAGCAGGGCTACGGAGAGGGAGTGTCAGGTCATATCTCGATGAGAGGTGAGGAAAGTCTATAGACAGACATGAGTCCGCATACTGACATCTCCGCAGACCCCGTCCTCAAGGACCATTTCTGGATGAACCCGTTCGCGAAGCATTTCTCGACCATCAAGGCTTCTGACCTGGTTCTGGTCGATAGCGAGGGCTACGTGACGGAGGGAGGGGCACAGCTTCCCATCAACGAGGCGGGGTTCATGATTCATTCTGAGATTCACAAGGCCCGTCCAGATGTGGTGGCTGCGGCGCATACGCATTCGATTCATGGAAAGACGTGGAGTGCGTTTGGGCGACCCGTTGAAATGCTCACTCAGGGTATGTATTATACATATACCAGTGAAGGTTTGTGGTTGGAGAACGCTGACTCTTCCGGTAGACGCCTGTAACTTCTACGGAAAGCTGAGCGTGTATGATGATCATGGTGGGATTGCACTAGCCCAGGAAGAGGGCGAGCAGATTGCAAAGGCTCTAGGCGAGAAGAATATTGCCTGCATTCTGCAGAACCATGGGTATGGGAATCTTCTTGTAGCGCACCGCGCTTCAGCAAGAACTGATCGTCTTTTAGTCTACTGACGGTTGGTCACACCGTTGATGAAGCTGCGTTCCTGTTCTTCAGTTTGGATAATGCATGTCGTTCGCAGTTGATGGCTGATGCCGCGGCTGCGAATGGAGTCCCTAAGAAGATTATCAACCATGAAGTGGCGCAGTATACAGCCGACGCCGTTCAAAACCCTGTACGTTTTCCCTGTTGATTTCCAGAGTGCCAACTAACATGCCGCAGCATAATTTTTATACCGAGTTTCAGCCTGAGTTTGAGTTGATTGTGGAGGAGAGCAATGGCCGCGTTCTTCAGTAATAAAGACGTGGCCCAATTCTTGCAAGGAGTCAGTTAGTCATCAATGTAGCAATCATAGCCTAGTTTCAGGGCCTTGTTATAAGGTTCCCTTAATTTGAAAATCGTCTACTGTGGGGGTGGAGGTATCTTCTGAATGCCTTCACAAAACTAGGGAAAGGAAAGTGCATGACTAATAATCCTCACGTGACTGACACATGGCGTCTGAGTACCAACGGCATATCAGAGTGATCAACACATTCAATTCGAGGTGCAATAATTGATACTCGAGACTTTTGTTGCTCTTCTAGCATAATTCAGCAAGTTCTGAGATGCTTCTCTAAGATGACCATTTTTTAACTTTCAGTGGCGGCATCAATTGAACAAGTCCTTTAGCAATTATCCATCCACCTCCTATCTGTCATTTCATCTCGTTTTCTTGTTTGATACCCATTCTTCCAGATAAAAGTACTTCGGCTGCATATACTGTGCACAAAATGGCAGACAGCGAACCTTCATACATAGATTATGAGGCCTTTTTGGACCCCGACTTCTCATCGGCATCATTTGCCAATTCCTTGGTCCTGGCAACCAACAATGCTACAGACACACCGTTGGACCTTTCCACGCCACTGTCACGGGTGCTATTTGACCTTCAAGAGATTGATACTCACATCCACAATCTGACGAGCAAGTCAGCTATCCCTCTACTTACGCACATGCGGGATCAAACCGCTGCTGCGGAGCGGATTCTCAAGGAGACGGAGGAGCAAATATCCTCTGTGACCAAAGGCTATGAACGCCTGGAGCAAGAAGTTTTACGAAAATGGGAGGCCGCAGATGAGGCTAGAGTGGCTGCGGAAAAGTCGCTGGCAACCGTGCGATTAGCGAGAGCGGTCGCGCGTTGTCTGGCTCTCGGCAGGCAGTTGGAGGGTCAACTTTCTGAGGTGACTGGTCGAGGGGGCCCAGCGGCGACTGCAGGAGCACAAGATCGCTCCTCTGCCAACCCTGGCAGAGAGGACTACCGAGCGCTGGAGCGAGCCGCATCTACCATTGTGAGTTTGCGACGGATGTTCTCCGCTACGGCCGTGGGAGAGGAAGGCTACGGATTGGAACGTGTCAAGGTCATCCGGACTTTGAGAGGTGAGCTGGTGATTCCGGCTGAGAATATGGTCAAGGCGCGCGCGCAACAGACTATCAATCGCTTCTCCATGTCGTCCATCGCGGCTGGCTCGCATTCTCAAACGGGGTACCGTCAAGGCCGGGACGCGCGAGCCAGGCTGATTTCTGCCGTTACCGTCTTGTATATTCTATCTCCAGTCCCGAAGACATTGACATCGCCAGCCAGTTTTCAGCCGGAGCTTCTGCTTTCCGCATTGCAAGGCTACATGCACACGGCCATCGTGGCGTCCGTCAACGCTCTTCCCCGGTCACTATCCATGCTTCCGAGTCTCGAACGGACGCTGTCTGAACTCTCGGGACGATGTCAGGATATCTTTGCACTAGAGGCGATCCTCAGCAGCCTTCGTCCGCCAACGCACCCACTTTTACCCGCTTCGGCCGCTAGCACAGGCGACAGCAATGGTACAGAGGTTCGAGCACAAGAAGTGGCCTCCAAGAACAACCTTCTCCAGCCACTGCTGAACGTTTTGGATACAACATCTCTCCCTTCGTACTTCTGGCGATCGTTGGCTTCATCGTTGGCGCCGCGGGTTCAGGAGATCGTCAGTCGCGGCGGTGTTTCAGCGCGGACGCTGCGGTCAAACCGAGATAGACTCAGGAAGGATATTAGGGAATGCGTCCTGCGGGGCTCACAGCTCCCAGCCTCGACTTTGGTGACAGATAGGCGGACAGGAACTGAGGCTGGGAACTGGGAGAGAGAAGCAGCGGTGATGGTCGGGTCTGTTGTGGGCGCTTTGGAGAGGTAGACACGATCTACAGAGATTACAGGGAAGCCATTGATATCATCCTTGGACACTCAGCCCTGTCATTGCTAGCGCTCTTCAAATGGCCCCTCGGTTATGTAATGGCGACGCCAAACGCCCCCAACGAGTCCTGCTGCTTTCAGATACGTTGGATACGCTCAAGTACAAGGGGCAGCGACTACGCCATTTATCAAAGAGCAACCCGATGGTGAAAGCTAGTACTAGCGGCTATACCATCTGGCCCTAACAGATCTAAGCTCTCAATCCCGCCAGTAGTCGTTGTCGCTCAATCAACACTACTGCCATGAAAGGAAATTCTCGAGTCGAGGCTATAAAACTATAAAGGCTCAAGCAATTTAGCCGGGAAAATGCTATCTTAGCGTTTCCTTCATATATCTGAGCCTAACCACCACGGCCACATCCCATTCCTCGTACCGCGCTATTAATGAGGAGCTTTAAACACCTCAGCTCGGTCTACTGCCTTCATCGACTCGACATAACGTTAACAACATCACATACTAATTCGCCAACTCCGTTCCCCTGCGAGCAAGCACTCTATAGCAGAAACGCCTGCAGCAAACGGCACGACAGAAATCGACTTCTGGATGAGGTACACAGTACGCCGAGTAGTGTGGGGGGGGTTTACATCTGAGACGGGGGATGGCTGGTGCAGCTAGCGCGAGTTCTTCGCAGGGTGTTCCTGCTGGCTGGGAGTGGCGGTTGAGGGAACTGTATGGCCTATATTACTGGAGCTAGCCATGGTGTTGTAGACTCGTGTCTTGCGCCGGAGCAATGCTGATTGTGGGGTGTACCTTATCAATGATTATGCACAGCTATCAGTGCACTTTAGTCCGAATGCAATGCAGATAACGCCGTCTGCTCCAACCGTGTTCCACACTGACAACATTGATATCCCTCCAATGCAATACTAAGTCCCAGCACGAGACGCTCATCATCGTCAACCAGTACCGTACTGCCGTTGGGGAAAGCCAACTAAACCCAGGAGATCCGTATCAGAGCCAGCTCTAAGCAGTAAGCTATATATTACTCAGGCAACAGAGTTCCCTCAAAGTAAAAGGTACCATATTAACTTTACATTCAGCAGTCTACGGGAGTTTACCGAGCACAGATAGACCTTCCCCATGCGCTTACCTGCCCACATGCCAGACAAGGACCACAGTAAAAGTTGGGTGCATAGGATACACTCTTGAGTACTCCGTATATGTTGCGGTTACTTTCGGTCTCGTGTCCTGCTCTTGCGTCTTGTGTCTTGCGTCTTGAGGCTGCACGGTTGATTTGTGATGCGCTGTATCAATGCACGACGTGCGTCGTACTGACGAGATGGAGGTGTGCCATATGTTTGACCTTGGGTGTATACCTGATAAATCAGATAAATAGGTGTAGTATATATATGGAGAGCACGGCTCCCGAATATACTCCGCAGATTCCACGAGGATTCGACTCTGAAAGATCGATGGAGCACGGACAGGATTCGTGATCCGTACATTCTATTAATAGGATAGAATGCATATTGAACCTCAGATACTCAGTCCGGAAAAGGACCAGAAGTGATATTGCCGGAGGGGTAAGATGCACCTGCAGGACTAGGGTGTTTGAGATATCCATGTTAATTAAGTGATATTACCGCCTACTTCTAGCCATGTACCTTGGAGTAACAAGGTTTAAGCAGGTACCTGTTGGTAGGTACTATCCCCAATGTCTATATCTACAGCTATCGAACGGTACCCCGCTTCTCAAGTAGTACAATGTACCCCGTACAGGGACTCAACTGCTCTAAAGATTAATACTTACTTTATTATTCGCGATCACGGCTGTTCTTATCAGTGCCAGGACTGATGATATTACCCTGGTCTGGATGCGCCGTGAAAATCCAGGAATCAGGATGAGGGGTAAGACCAGAAACCCCCCCGCCCTCCTGGCAAAGGCACAAGCCAACCAGCTGAGCTCATATCATCACTGATAGCCCCAGAGTCCGTTTCGCCTTTCCTCCGACCACACCGTTCGGCGAACAGGTAAAAAGCATGCGCGTAAGCAGGGGCATGGTCAGCGGTCAACAAGACGTAGATGGCCAGTGCCACGTCGATCTACCCCTCAGGATCCGGAAACGCCGCCACCTTCTTGCCCAGTGCATGGTAGATGGTCAACGGACTTCAGCGTCAGCCTGTCAGGATGCAGAGGCGATTTCCGAGTGAGTTAGAGGAGGCGAGGACGCGAGGTAAGGTACAGATACTTTTACGATCGGATCCTTCGTCAGGCCAATTGGAAGGATATCTCGGAATTTGCAGACGAGACTAATGCACAGTCCGCGTTGAAACTGGAGATAGGTGCATCTAGCATTGTGTACATCATCTAGAAGCGTTAAGAACAAGTAATGGACATTCAGAAAGTGCGTTATCAAAAGTGTTTTACCGCTCTGACGGATCAAGCACATCATCAACATTTCAAGTGGCGTGAGGACCTGGAGTCTCAAATCTTGTTCTCGCCTCCCCCAGGTTGAAATCGTCAGAGCATACGCACCTTGTGGTCTAGCACACGGTGTTTCCAAGCAATGGACCCCCTCATGGATGTCAGAAGATGTCAATAGGCCCCTATCAGACTGACTTTCCTGGTTATCCGGCATGCCGTTTGCAGACCGTTGATGCTCCGACTAGTTGATCTTGACATCAATTATAGCCTAGACAATAGGTCATTTCGCCCCTATTCTCTCAAAATATTTGGAAGCTCTTTGTCTGGATCTTCACTGCTCAGTTCCACGGTCTCAAGGCAGTCCGTTCCAGTCCGCCTTCGACCAAATGGATGCACAGGAACAAGCTTTCCACAATGGTCCGTGTCCAGGCAAAGAGGAGAAGGTGAGGAAAGAGTATGGTACGGCAGTCCAGCAGATAGTCCATACATGTTAAGAGACTATGATCGTAACTCAGTTTGGAAGTCTGAAGTGTTCAGGTGATCTGTATTCGCACTCCGAATGTGCTTTGTCTGCTTTGAGCATAAGTTACAGCGTCTGCAGAGACCGCTGCATGGCCAGCGTTAGCTCCAGGATGGCAATCGGAGAATTACTCCCAGTCTGATACTTCTGCT